TGGAGGAAACAAAATGGCAACTCCTGCACTTAAATTTGTCCCATGGCTAAGGACATGCTGCCCTCCCCACCATAAGCCCCAATCTATTTCATTTGTGCTATCACTGTGTGTTTCCTGTAAGAAAACTACATCTAGTCTTTTCTGTGTGATTACTTCTGTTATTAAAGGTCTCTTTTTTTCCATCCCTACCCCCACTTATGTTTAACGAGGCCACCCTTAGACCTTGCATGTAAGGAGAAGAGAGACAGGCTAACAGGGAAACCCAGCAGAGATGAAACACCCAGTGTTGTATGATCATACTACTTTAATTTGAAAGTATCATTTTCTTTGACATTTTATTCTTTGTCGTTTTAAGAGTTTTCCTCAGAACGTTTCTTGCTATCCAGTAAATTGAGCCCAACAACTCTCTGCAGTGTGGTGACTGATCCACATCAGGAAAATATTCTTTGACATTTGCTTTTTTTACCCCAAAAAGTGTCATCCAGGAAGCCATTAATCTCCTCCAGAGAATACAAGTCAATACTCTGAGAGTACCTGTCTGCTATAGAGAAGCTATCAGAGTCAGATTCAAGATTCACAGTCCATGTCACCATGGCCACGAGCAGCCTTCACCTGATCATCCGCCTCACTATCTGGGCTGACCTGCAGCAGCTCTACATCCTGCACAGAAACACATTCTGCATCCTGCTCTGGCCTCCCCAGGTCATCCTCCCTCTGCCCCTACCGCTTTATTCATGCGTGAGGCACACAAGATGTTTCCATGCACCACCTGCTCTCCTACCGCCAGCAGCACCTGCTCCACCGTGGTGCTGGGCTGCGGCACCACCCTCACCCCCATGCTTCAGAGACAGGGACGACGTCTCTGAGGACCCCATCCCCGTCAAGAAACACGGCCCCCCAAACCACCCAAACACACAGCAACATACAGTGACAATAAACGCAAACAATGATCAAACAATCATACAGTAAACAACAAAAGAAGTTTGAAATCACTCAGAAACTCTCAGCCACACTCACCACGCTCTCCACCACCAAACTCCCACCATGCACTCAGAGAGAGAGAGATCAGCGCCGGTTTCTATGTTATACAACCTGGACTTATATATCTCTGGGAGTTGTATAATCTTGTTATTATTTCTGGTTGTGGCATCACACTGAGGGTCAGTTCAAAACAGTTTGTTCAAATAGTGAGATTTCATCTTATTAAAAAGTTGTTGAAACAGTGTGAAGCTCCAGAGGCATGCTTCATCAGCTGTTAAAGGATAATTTCAGTATTTTTATACCCATTTTCACATATTTTAGTGTTTAATTACTAGTAGGTAAAAAAAAGTTTTGAAATCTGTGCCATAGACGGTTTCAGCCAGCAGCTGAACCGGCTGCAGTGGCTGCAACATATTCCTTCGGGACAACTGCAGCCATCAAATATACATGCACAAAAAGTGCTTTTTTTGGCCACCAGCAGGCTTGGACTGTTATAACAGGTGTCTGCCCACCATCATGCAAAGGATCCCTATGAGGGACTCCTGGCAACACTGTTTTTAACCCGAAGTCTCACTCAAGGACATTTCTCGCTCTGAAATCTCATGAGAGGCGAGTTGTTGCAGGACGGTAACGGTACTGTAAAAATATATTATATTAAATACTGTAATTTTTCTTATTGTAAAATTGGATTTGAAAAACAAAAACATGTTTAAATTATGGATGCACCAATACAACTTTTTTATTATTTGTTGAAGATTTTTTGGGTGCCTTTTCGCCATTTATTTGGATAGAAGTTTGAAAAGAGAGAGATAGAGGGGAAGACATGCAAAGAGCCCCAGGTGCATCCCTATTGAATACCAGTGCTTTATTTTTCCATATTTAAAATATCTATGCCTAACCATGTTTGATAACAGATAGGGAAAGCATTGACCTTCACGACACTGACTAATTAACAGTATTTCATTTAAATTGGCAGTGCATTCATAATTTAAACATTTGATTTGGTTTAACTTACTTAAGAAATGCTTAAGGAATTTTGTATTACAAAGACACTAAAAATTAAGTATAATGTAGGCCTATTGCTACTTGTTTGTGTAAATCCGTCACGTCAATGTTGCGATCGCAAGTATTAACACAAATTCAAGAAATCACCATGAATTCAGCGTGATTTGTGCAATATTGAGTCATCGCAACTTTTCCGCACATTTGACCTCTCATCACCATTTCCCGCAAACGTACGTCATATGTCAGCAATCTCACTTCCTTGTTTACAAAATGCAGCAAACATGTGTGAGACCAACGTCTCACATTTGCAGACAAAACAGTATCCGGATCTTCTTTACCAAAGCGGGGGTAAGCCGTTTTACAAAACGTGCGGTATTGTGGTCAAACATAAAAGGAAATTGTCTATTGAACACTTTGCCGCCGCAAAACATGAAGAAGAATGGGAGAATGGCAGAAACGCGTGGAGGATATCAGAGGAGACAAATCCCCGTGACACAGGCTGTTGCATCGGCCGGTCAATTGCAAGCCCTGAAATAATCAAGGTAAACTGGTAACTTTAAATAGTTATGCAGGATTAGGATTAGTTTGTCCAGTAGAGATGGAGAAGAATTTTTCTTCCCTTCTTATCATCAGTAAATCACTGTACAGGTGCACTATTAAAAGAACCGCCATGCAAAGTTTGACCACATCCTTTTAACATAATGTTCTGATTATAATAACACATGCAGCATGCACTTGTGATGTCTTATGAGCACAACTTTGATACATCTTTTACCACAAATAACATGATTCATCCAACCAGGCGTTCTCTAGTTGGTGACAAATAGCTGATCAAAGCTGATATTTCCACGTTTCAATGAGACATTACAGTGAAGAATGATTAATCACCAGCAACAAGGGAAAACTACAGTATTTTGGTAAAAACCATCACGTCATGAGTCACTCAACAGTTGTTCTTTCTGTCCAGATTGTTCTCCCACAGCTTCGGTTTATGTGCAAGTACCTCCCACTCGTTTCTCTTGTACTACTTATAAGCCTCTCTTACCCTCTTCTCATCGCAACCACCTCCTCTTATTTGACCTCCTTTCTCCCACGTTTGTACCTCCTCCACTGCTTGTCCTCACCTTTGTCCTCCTTCCCATCACTCCAACCAATTCTCTCCTCTACTGAATAAGTTCCTCTTTACCCAGGTTTTCATTTCCTCTATTTCTCTCCTTCCTCTCCTTTTTCTCTCTCCTGCCATGAACTCCACATCCACTTGCCCTTTACTTCCCTCCCATCTCTTTCCCTACCTCCTTTTATCTTCCCTGAGGTTGTTCTACAAGCAACGAGTTGGAGTCACTGAGCATGTGGTGGCCATCTGTACTTTGACTTACATAACTACACACGTACATGTACACGAACAAACAGAACAGACAGAACAGTCACGTTTCCCCTAAGTATGAACAGGGGTGTTTTACGGGTAGATGGATATGATTGCGTAATGAGTGACTGAATAATAATCTTTATTTGTAGAGCACTTTTCAAAAACAAGTTACAAAGTGCTTTACAAGTGTCAAGACAATAATAAATGCAAGAAAACCCTGAAAAGACTAAAATACACGTTTAAGATAATATAAAAATAGAATAAAATAAAAGGGATAAAATAAAGTCAAATAAGATCGGGAAAGGCTCTCCCATAAAAGTGTGTTTTAAGAAGGGACTTAAAAGAGTTCACTGACTCAGCCGACCTGATTTCCTCGGGCAGGCTGTCCAGAGCCTCGGGCCCTGACAGCAAACGCTCTGTCCCCTTTAGTTTTCAGTCGAGACTCTGGAACAGACAACAGACCTCTGCCCGAGGATCTCAAGGTACGTGCTGGTGCGTATGGGACTAAAAGGTCATAAACATAACAAGGCGAGAGGCCATGAAGAGCTTTAAAAGTGATCAATAAAATTTTAAAGTGAATTCTAAAACATACTGGGAGCCAGTGTAATGAAGCTAAAATAGGGTAATGTGGTCATATTTCTTTGTTCTGGTGAAAAGCCTGGCAGCTGAGTTCTGGACAGTCTGGAGTCGATCAATAGATTTTTGGGTTAAACAGGTGAAAAGGCTATTGCAATAATCCAGGCGTGATGAGATGATGGTGTGTAAAATGGTTTCGGTGTCCTTAAAAGTTAACATAGATCAAATTTTTGCTATATTTCTAAGTTGATAAAAACATGATTGAACAAGCTTTGTGGTGTGCTGCTCGAAATTTAAATTACTATCAAACCTACTATCTCTATATTGGAGAGATTCTGAATGTGCAGAAAATTTTGAACATGAGCAGAAAACCTGTTGAAACACAGGAGCTATTAAAGTCCAGGAATTTATAACTTAGATTAAAGTTAACTTATTTGAGGTGAAAAGGCGCCACATGCACATCACCAAACAAAAGACACAAAAGAGGAGGAAGATGAATGTGTGCTGACTGAGGATTTTATTAAATTAGAAAAGATCTACAGGAGAAACATAGGATATTTAAAGGTAATAGCTACAGAATGCCCGAAAGCCTAATATCATATTCTATTAATCTTTTATTTAATAATTTATTTTGAAATTGTGCTAAAATTGTGAGTTTGGCTGCTGAACATTTTAAACAATTCCTGTGGATAGAGGAGTGATGACTCCAAGGATTTCAGGATTGGGCATGATGGTGAGGGTGCCAATTTAAAATCTCGCCTAGGGCTCCAACATTGTCAGGGCCATCCCTGCTCTGGTGCATAATTAGGAGCCCATCTGTTTTGTCTCCTCATTTCTTTTTTTTTATTTCTATTAGTGGTTTCTGAGTGGTGCTTATTGCAAGAGGACTTCACACTGTGCTGATCGGTCTCTTCTTGCAGGAGGAAAACTATGTTTTGGGTGTGGTCATACAGTTTGAAAATCATATCAAACAAATTTGGGAATTTTTAGGTTAAAATAAGTCAGTCAGGATGACAATAAGTGTGTGTGTGTGTGTGTGTGTGTGTGTGTGTGTGTGTGTGTGTGTGTGTACCTGATCTGTTGTTGTGACATTGTGCTGTAGTGCAGGTTGAGTCTGGTGATGTGCCCGTCTCTTAGTTCCTGGATAGATGCCTTTTCTCCAGAGGTCTGCTGCAGCTCTGGATCCACAGTCTGGACCAGCTCCCTGTCCTCAGATGGCAGCCACAGCACCTTCACATAAAAAAAATCCACACACATCCACAAAATATGTTGTTACCACTTATAATAATCAACTTTATTTGTCACATACACAGTACAACGCAGGTGAAATTTGAAACACTGGCAACAATCGATAACTGAAAGAGGAAAAACTACTAAATTCGAAAAAAACTGACAGGCCAAAAGGAAACTTTGCTGTTGTCAGGTTTGCCATACTCATCAGCCAAAGATCCAGATATTTTTGTTTTTCCAACAGAGTTAGACATCTTGTCTCTTGTGAATTGCGTCACGTCAGTTTGAGGAGTTGGAACCTCCCAATTAAACTTTCATATCAATAAATTAAGGTCATCAACATAATAGGTTTGAACCAAGAAGTCTGTAGGTATTTGGAATGAGAGAGATTATAAAGTCTGCCAAATTTAGTCACTTCAGTGCCCCAGATACATATTTAATCAACACATGCATATTCTGTTGCTATTAAAATATAAGTAAGATCAAACTTAGTATCAGCAGATAGCCAATATTAAAAGGACTCTGACTGATATCAAAAAATAACTTAATCTGGACATCTCTAATTAAAATACATGCTATGGATATGTTTGTAGAGCCACTGTAGCCAGAGTTTATTACTGATCTTCTAAGTCATGGAACGAACAAACCCACCAATTTTATGTCAGATTTCAACTGAACTGCAGAATTAAAAATACATCCACTCTTTAGCCGGCAGATACCTGTGAGGAGTTGATGTGGGCCTGCACCACCTGCAGGGTGGTGTTGATGTATGACTGACTGTAGGGATGTCCGTGCGGTGGCCTACGCAGGTCAAACAGCACTAGTCTGTTGCTACGGGCCGCTACCTCCAGGAACTGGGCCAGTGAGGGAACAGACTGGTTCTGGACCTGGGAGAAGTCCGCCTCAGACATGGACGACACAGTACCAAATGGATCCCTCTGTAAGACAGTGTGTGTGTGTAGCAGAGTGACATTGAAAAAAAGGGTTGCTTAGCCATTGGATTCATGGAAAATGGGAAAAATGTAGATGTGTTTATTTTGATTATTTAAAAAAAGAAGAATTAATAGAGTTTTTTATTTTTAAATCTAGTTAATTAACGTGCAGTGGTATCAAGTTTAATAAAAACTATGGTTATTATGGTTATTTTTTTTTGGTTTTTGACCCCATTGGTCTCGTCACTGTCTATTACCCGATATAATTTTGAGCAATATGCTCATCATAAGAGGCCTACAGTAGTTTAATGGTTAACTCGGACCTGGTCAGTGTCCTCTTGCAGCAGGAGATGCAACATGTAGTTGCACTATTTTCTAGTTAAATAACTGAGCCAAACTTTCAGAAAGGGTGTGCTCTTTGTCTAATTAATTTTTTTTATAAATCTGGACTTTCTTCTCTCAATGTTCAGTAAAAGATTCAACCTCTCTTGGTTTTATAAAATAAAAGACATCAACCTAATGATAAGGGAAATTTGCATAGCTGCTATGAAGATGACATTTGGAGATGGTGTTATTATCAAGCAACAGTGTCTGAATTTCACACTTCAGCAGTAGTGCTTTTGAGGAAACCAAACCACATTACTATACTATAAATATACTATAAATTGTGTTTGTGTGTTAGTCTCACCGATAAGAACCAGTCACCAGCATTCAGTTGCTGTAGCTCAGCCCAGGTGAACATGGAGGCATCGAGGTGTGTTCGATTTGGGAAAACATCAGCGACGTTAGTGGTTCTCCTCAGAGTGGAGTCATGCATCAGGAAGGGAACACCATCATAACTACAGAGGATTAGTGGGAGTATTAAAAAAAAGAGTGACAAAGTGAAGATCAGGATGTAAACAAGGAAAAGTGAAGACCACAAAAATGAGACGCAAGTGAGTATGAACGAAAGAGGAGAGCAGGGAGGTTGGAATGAAAAAGGAAAGGAAATGAGGAGATGAGAGTGAAGAGAGGATGATTAAATTCATCAAAAAACATTTAATCCTCCTAAAACTGTTCTCTGCTGAAAACACCTGCAATTAAATTAAGTTTGGCTTTTGACTAAGCCATCTGTCTTTCGTGAACACATAAACAACTCAGTGAGCCTGATATCAGTTATGTACAATGTCCAATAATACACACAGACACACACACTAATAGACTGCCTCACAAAACCCTTGACAGTTTAATTACACAGAAACTGCCAAGTAGACACAATAATTCATGCAGACCATACACACACACACACACACACACACACACACACACACACACACACACAGGGAACTACCACACACAGGGGTCACCAGCAGCATGGTATTAAGCTAACCCGCTAAGGCTGAGTCATGCCATGTTGCTAATCTCCCTGTTTTCAGGCTGTAAATTGTGTGTAACCCACCAGCCGTGGGCTAATGGCAGGGCTAACGGCTAACTGGATTAGCATGGCAGTAATCACCTTAGCGCTGAGGGTAGCACGCTAGCATCTGATCTGTACAATTAGCATGAAGGCACAGACTCAGTCAGCATCAGTTCACTGCCGCCAGGCTGCTGTGCCTAATTTTACCAGCAAGGAAACATTTTGTGTTATTAAACGCCGTTAATAATTACATTGATGATTGGGTCCCCTTGAAATAATTGTGAAGATACATTTTAACAATTTGTTCGTTTAATCAGGCACCCGCTAATCAAGGGACATTAATAATAATAATATAGTGATTTAAACTCCTTTTGGCTGTTTTATTAAAGCTTTTCCTGCTATTAGCGGTTTGGCTTTTAAGACGCATGTTGCTAATAAGGCAGTAAATATATTCATGATTTTAGCATAAAAGTGATATTAAAAGTATGTAAGAGTGTTGTATGAAAGTGAATGCTATCAGTGTCAAAGAATAAGAGAGAGGATCCACTCAGTTATGTACTTTCTACTTAAACAGATGACAAACCACTTCTTCATGTCGGGTGCTTGTTTATATATACACACACAACAGGAAGCGATTATGCGAGCATGTTTTCTTGAAAGAGACTGATCCTCGCCGTCTGTGACTTCCCCGTAATATAAACTGTTCACTGAACTGTTATCGGACATTAACAGGAGGGTGTTTGCATGACTAAATTTATATATAATATGAATAATCAATTAACAAATTCTATCAATTAACGTTAACTATTTTACTTTAAGCTAGGCTATGAAGGAATCAGTAGCGCACAGAAGCCGTGCTACTATCTATAGAGTGCCTTCTGTGTTACTCGCGGAGCGCTTCTCCTCGGTTCGTTCACATGAGAAGCGTAGAGCGACCCGCGGGCCAGGCGACTACGCAGGCGGAGTGACGTTTCCCGTGTAAAAAGACCTTTATCTTTCAGGTTACTATTTTAACAAGGCGCCCTGTCAAGTTGCTTGTTACGTTACATTTGTGTTTCTCACCAAAATGAGACACGAATAAACACGGCGAGCTAAGCAAAACATTGCTCTATAGCCTCCATGTGGTCAGAAGCTCCACAGGGTACCTTTAAGTTAGCCAAACTTTTTAGTATTGTTTGTCCTCTCAATTCCCACAAGGCAATAGAAATTACCAGGAAACCCAAGAAAACAAGTGTGCTTACCCAGTTCTGGTGAAAGATTAATAAATACAACTGATCAGCCATAACTGATGACCGCCTGCTTTTTCAGCATTTGACCTACAGTAGCCTGTTGGATCAGACCACAGGCCAGCCTTCCTTGCCACATGCATAAATGAGCCTTGGCCCTGTCAATCCTTCTGCTTGCCCATCTTTTTCTGCAACTATAAGGACAAAACCTTTACTTGCTGCTTAATAGACCCCACCCACTGACAGGTGACATGGTAACGAGATCAGTGTTATACACTTCCCCTGTCGGTGGTCATAATGGCGCAGTGCACAGCTTGGAGAACACCTCAACATATATGTACACGCCACACAGATACACACACGTGAGAGAGGTTAATACTGATGGTGACATCAGTCTCCAATCCTTCGCCTCCAGCTTCCACTGCCTTCTCAAACGACATCACAGTATTCTCTGGAGCAAGCTATACACACACCACAGTGAGACAAAAACATTCCGAGTCATAAATATTATCAATAATAATAATATCATAACCGATGGAAATGATGAACAGTCTAGTAAAAAAACAGACTTTAAACAGAATTAAGACAGATCCAGCCGTCACGGTTCACTTCTGTCTCACCATTGGAGCTCCTCTGTGTCCGATGAGTGTTGGGGCGGGTCCCAGCGTTCCTGCCTCTTTAATGCAGGGCGAGTACATTCCCAGAGGGACCAGGTAGAGAGAAGACAGCATGGACAGGTAGAGACCCAGGACGGCCACTGACGCACTGAAGAACACACACACAAAAGGATATACTCTGAGGATGTAAATTCATATAAATACTTATCTTTTTAATCACTAAATATAAGATGTTTCATTTAAAACAGAAGAAGTCTCTAGTACAGAGTATCCCTAAGTGTGCGCCCACTCATGCATCTGTTTTTACATATATGCATTTATATTATTGGGGGTTGGGTGGCGCAGGGTGCCATGACAAATTATTTCCATCCCTTTATATCTTTGAACCAGGGCTCAATGAATGGTTTGGGTTTTGAGTATGAAAATGATGTGAATGAAATGCTACTACTGCCTTTACAGCCACCAGATCTCAACCCAGTTTCACACCTATGGAAGATTTTGGACAAATGTATAAGACAATGCTCTCCACCACCACCTGCCAAGACCAATGATAAAATATAACTTTAATCTTCAAATCTTTTTAGTGATTGTATCTGATGCTATACGTCCTTTTGTCATGTCTGGCTATGTTTGTTTTTCTTTTCTATCTGCTTCACTCAGGTCTCTCTTGCATGAGATTATCTGATTGAATAAAAGGTTTTATATAAATGAGGCATGATATAACTCCAATAGAGTTCCACAGACTTGGCGAGGAGCACTGCAGCTGTAGAAGGAGGCTCGTGGTGGCCTGACTCCATACTTCGAAACTTCCTTTAATTTGTCAACCATCTGTAGCTACCATTATCTGCTTATACCATTAAAACACAGGGTGAGAGAATGAAGGGATTATTATTTGCGACAGCTACTGCAATTAAATAAATCAATGACAGTGTGAAACTGTTAATGCTCTTTAATCAACATACTGTCTAGTTATATTGATTACCTTCTCCGCTTGGCTATAAGTCACCAGAGCATTAAAATAAAGTGAGAGAAGCCCTGCTAGGTTGGGGCCTGCCTTGCCTGCAACAGGACCGCAATCGCCTCACCATCATTTAGTGTGTATCCTCTGTATTTACTCATTTGTGTGCCATTTGTCTAGTCTATGTAAATTTTAATAAACTTAAAAAAGGTAAAATCCTGCTTAAAGGTTCAGTGTGTAAGTTTTAGTGGCAATGTTCTCTTTTTCCATGAGGTTTACCTAATATCAATTTAATTTCTAAATCCAACAACAAAAGGCTGTAAAAACTGTCAACATATGAACCTTGTTTAATATTCTTCTTATATTTAATTTAGTATTCTTCTTATATATTGTGTTCTGTCTGTATACGTCTTTATGTACATTTTATTCCTCTTTTTGCAACAACACATGAATGCACCATCATCAGTCCTTCCTCCCCTCCCTTTCCAAGCGTCGGAGAAGCTACGGGGCCGACACGCTCCATCTGTGCAAAATAATACGCGTCGTCCTCCAATTGTCCAAATTCACATCTCTTCTTACTTCTATGAAACAGACTACTACTACTACTTCTTCTGCTTCGTAAGTATTCAACTTAGTGACAAAACGCACTCTCTGTAGAGCAGTTTCTCCACTTGGGCTACTGTAGAAACATGGCAGCACAACATGGCGACGTCCATGTAAGGGGAGACCGCGGTGTATGTAGATAGAAATGGCTCATTCTAAGGTATAAATACATAACAGTTTATTATGTAGGTCTTTATACACCACTGAAAACATAGTTATGGATATTATAATGCATTTCTGTCAATAATCCTCTTAAATATACACTGGACCTTTAACCCAGCATCCTTCCCGTCTCACATTCCATTAGTGCTTGAAGTCAATAAAACTTCAAAACTAACCCAACCAACCCCAACTCTTTCCTTTCACATTCAAGCTTTGAAACTGTGTTTTCATCTCAATACAGTAGACAGGGAGAGTACATCGTGTGCTTTAGCGAGTCTCTCGCTTCTCTCCTTTATCTCCTGCCAGAAGAGACCCCCGACAGGGACTCAGCATCACTTTACTCGCCAATCACCGTGGCAACCAGGACAGTACCCATGGAGAGCAAAAAAGAGACGTAGAGGTCAAAGCCATTCAGCGGAGAGGAAAGGCAGTCCGGAACACAATGCAAGACAGACTCAAAGAGAAGGAAAGCAGAGCAGCTACGAAAAGAAATACGATTAAGAAACCAAAAAAGAGTCAATGAAGAAGACAGAAAGCGTCAGAGAGACAAAGAGAAGAGAGAGAAATTGAGTAAGAAAATGAGACATTGATTTTCTGTTAAGAGTAAGTGGAAAGAGTGAACGAAGTATGGCAGGAGGTCTACAGCTGTAAAATCCCTGCCAGACAAGTGCGCCACGTTGCTGAGGGGTGTATTTGATTTCAGCGAGCGGGGCAGCTCAGTACTTTTTAGACCCTGAAACACTCTCTGTCTGGCAGCAATCAGCAGATATGTCATTTCAACAAGGGCCCTCAGCCATTTTCCTCCCTCCAGTGTACTGCTGCTAGGGCAATGAGAGGTTGGTTGTGCTTGACACTTGATTTCCATTCTTCTTCTGTCTCTCTTTCCAATAACACTCCAAACATCAAGTATTTTGATGTACAAAAGGGTCCTGAAGGGTCTGGCTAAGCTGTTTGGGGGTCTGGATTTAGGTCAGGGAAGTGAAACCGATCAGTTAAGATCTGATAACAGGTTTTGATTGTGTATGTTGTAAAACTGCATGCATTTAA